ACAAAGTTTGTATTGTACGATGTCAGTTTAAGATCATGTACATCCACTCTCTTCCTTTCTTCGATCATTTCGTTGCTGAAGCCAGCAAGGTAATTTCGGATTTTTTCACCGTAATTATCGAAAGCAATCTTGAAATCTAACTTTATTTGCGATATAACTTCATCCACATATTGTTTGTTTGCAACATCAGCGACATCTGTTGGCAGTTTTACGTTACACATCTTCAAATGACCAACATCAATATCACCGGTTGGAGTATGTGAAAATCCAGATCTGACTGTCACCATCTGAGCTGAGCGTGGAAACAAACCACGTCCGAATTTGTCGAGACTCATTATGCTAATGACTAAAGTATTGTACGTTATCGATAATGGTCGGCACTTTGCCTCGCCAATTATTAGCCCCTTCACTCATAGACATGCTATGGAAGTGTCACGGAACTGTCACGGAAGTGTCAAGGAAGTTCACGGAAGTGTCAAGGAAGTGTTACGGAACTGTCACGGAACTGTCACGGAAGTGTCAAGGAAGTGTCACGGAACTGTCACGGAAGTTGTCATGGAAGTGTCACGGAAGTATCACAGAAATGTCACACATGTTTTATTATGCCTGCCTCTTCTAATTCGTTCAAGATGGCATTAATCTCGTTATCGTTTGATGTATTTCCGGCTTGCTGTGATGCAATGAGCAACTTCAATCTATCTACCAATTCGTTTGGATCATCCCAATACATGTATTCGATAGGTGCTGTGTTGTATGTCAACTTCAAACCACGACCACTGGAATTGGATCTGAACATTGGACGAATAATTTCTACGTATTTGAGTCTAGAGGAGGACTTCATACGTCCTGCAGAATTCAGATGAGCTTTGGTGAGCAAGAGTATTTGCTTGTATGGGTTCGTATCATCTTTGGCGAAGGATGGATCATTATAGAAGAGTAATTGATAGAGGCCTGGGGTGCCACGGAACCGAAAGCCATCAAGAAGTATATCTCCAGTTCTTCGATGTAAATTAATTTCTTTTCCGTTGAGGGACCATTTCGATGTTACTGGATCATATTTGGGGCCATATACCGTATCGATATTTTCATCATTTGTCCAGTATTCAGTCAGATATTTTTGAGCCATCGCAGGATACTGATCAACGTAATCATGTATTGCAGCCGGTGAGATATTTTCACTATCTGCAAAGAGTTCATCATCAGCATCGTCATAACCATCCTCATCATCATCTTCAGTATGCCCAGCATTATCAGCCACATCCATCATAGGTATGAAATTAGTTTGGTTCAAATCCGATTGCTCCCTCTCCACCTCCCCATCCTCTTCCTCCTTCTTCTCCTTCTTCAACCCCAACGACTTTGCTCTGCTTCGCTTGATGTTTGAAAGCGTTCCATCGAGTTTTTCTTTCATTACCTTGGACGTGGTGGCAATTTGTTTCAAAGGTTATGTCAGTGGTTAGAATATTTTCTGTAACGCATCATCATCCTCAGACTTGCCCAATTTTAGTGCTCAATATTTTCTTCTGATTGATTTCGATAGTTCGTTGATTTTTTTTTTGCGCAGCGCATCAGCAACATCATCATGCATCTTGGTTGACGTCATCTTGATGAATGGTCTAGAGATTACAGTCTTATGAACTTATCGAAACCATTTCTATATCTGCCAGCATTCATATCGAAAGTTTTTGCAATCACCATCGCACCATATTGGTTGGAATTCCAACACTCTGAGCACAATGCTTTAAATTGATCGAATGACACGTCTGGTGAGACATGCTCGTCGAACACATGCTTCAAATTCATTTCATCCTGTCGAAATAACACCAACAGGTTACTGTTGTCTCGCACCAGCTGCTTCGGTATCTTAGAAAAAGTCTGGCATAGGTATGCTACGTCAATATCCTTATGTCTACACATTGAAAAATATTCTCGATTTTTTTGCTGCTTGTCGCATGATACATCATCAAAAATGAATATCGAATGATTTTTCGCTTCTGATGGACTAATGACATCATCATTTTCTTTAAAGGGGAAATACCCAACACCTTTCACTGAATCCAACACTTGTTGCAGCAATTGATATTTCGGTTGGTACAACGACTTTGAATACACGTAAACGTTCTTGAATTTCGCGCCATTCGGATTGAACAGCAGGGAAAGCATCGCATTGGTCTTTCCACATCCGTTTGGTCCGCAGAAGATTGCTCTGAACGAATGGGGAAGCAGTTTCCCATGTTTACTATTTACTGGTGGTTTGGTTGACAAAATTTCATCCAAATTCACAATGGGTAACATCCGTTCTTGTTGAATGATCTTCATCATGTGATGATATATTTTTCATTTCATTAGGTATATGCAGAGTTGTCGAACTTCCTACACGTCAGTCTTCATGTTGCCATACCACGGAGAGGGTGTGCTTAATTCTCTGATCGATAAACTTCCCATCGAATTACACATTCCAGGCTACAGATTTTGTGATCCAGGTACCAAACTCGATAAAAGACTTGCAAGAGGAGACACCGGTATCAATCCGTTGGACGACGCATGTCGAGTACACGATATCGCCTATTCACAAAATTCCTCAATAGAAGACAGGCACAAAGCTGATTGGATATTGGAAAATAGAGCGTGGGAGAGAGTCGAGTCGAAGAACGCTAAATTCAAAGAGAAGGCTGCTGCTTGGCTTGTCACCACCGGAATGAAGGTCAAACGAAAACTTGGCATGGGTCTTGTATCACAGCAATCCCTATCCAACATTATCAAATTCATAAAAAAATGTACTATCAAAGTCAGATGGTGGTGGTGGTGGTGGTAGTACAACATCAGGAAGTGGTCTGAATAAATCTGCATTGAAAGCACTCCATGCAGCCAGAATGGCAGTCAAGAGGGCTGGCGGTAAAAAAAGAATCAGAGTACCAAGAATCATACCTCTTCCACACAGTGGCGGTATACTACCATTGATACCAATCTTTGCCGCCTTGGGAGCCCTAGGATTTCTAACTGGAGGAGCCGGAGCAGTCGCAAAGACAGTCATTGATGCGAAAAATGCAAAGAAAAAGCTCGAAGAAGATCAAAGACATAATAAAGCAATGGAGGCTATCGGCAAGCAGGGTTCCGGCCTATTTCTACGCAAAACATCGAGAGCATTCGGACTGTACTTGATCAAAAATCAAATCAAAAAACTCAAAAAACTTCTAGACAAGCTACCCAATAAATCAATGTACGATAAAGATGTGATAAAGTATGCCAAACAGCTGAAAATACCGTATTTTCGAGGCGTTTTTATGCGGGACACTCTACCTTCCACCGGTCCATGGCATCGCGAGTGTGCTGTATTGAATTTGGATACCGCCAATCATGCGGGCACTCATTGGGTGGCTCACATAAAAAATTATAAAAAAGTCTTATATTTCGATAGTTATGGCAATCTGAAACCACCCAGAGAATTGGCTCAATATTTGGGTACCGGCACGAAAGTCATGTACAATAATGAGCAATACCAAAATTTCAATCAAAGTAATTGTGGACGTCTATGTTTAGAATTCCTTTTTAATGAGACCAAGTAACTCGGTCATTGTGCATCAGTCATGTCTCTGATTGTGACGTTGAAAGGTCGTACATCTACGCTCTCCATAGACTTTTTGACACCACTTCAACTCGATCCAGACTCTGATTACGGACTAGCATTGTTGGGATTCCATTCATACAACAGTATACCAAATATTGACAAAGGATCAAAGTTTCATCTGCAAGATAAGACCAAGGCGGGAAAGATCATCGATATTCCCGAAGGTTCATACGACATTGTGGACATTAAGACATTCATACGCAAAGAATTGGGTATATCGAGTGCAAAGGACGTTGATGATATATTCTCATTGGAGCCCAACAATAAAGTGTGAGATTTCGAGCCAAAGGTTTGCCATCGATTTTCGTCCGAAGGATAGCATAGCTCAAGTCTTGGGATTTTCGAATAGATTGTTGAACGCACAACAAGTCCACACTTCCAATTTGCCGGTCAGCATAACCAAAGTGAGAACCATTCACATCGATAGCAACGTTACTGCTGGAGCTCTCTACAACGACAGACCATCACATACGATCTACGAGTTTGCAGTTGCAGTCGATCCTGGTTACGCCATAGACGAGACTCCCAGAATTCTAATCTATCTACCTATAGTCAGCAGGCGGGAATTGCCCAACATTACACTCAAGATTCTAGACCAAGATTTCAGAGAGGTGAATTTCAGAGGTGAAGAAATCATCATAAGATTGGAATTGAAGAAACTCGCAAGATGGTACTAGTGTTTGATTACTCCTATAAATCAGATAATATACCATCATCAGCAACATCATCGGCACCAGTTCTCTCGACACCGTACACCAAAGCAGTCGTGTCTTCGAAGAGCAGCAACAGAAAAACATTGACATTATCCAGTGTCCTGTTTCTGAAATCACTCAAAGACTACAATGTTGTTAGCACCCGTGTTCGACGTTTTCCGCAAACCCAGACTTGACGAAAGCATCACTAAAGTGGAATGGCGTACCTATTATCCATATGTGAAATCATTCGAGAACAATGATGTCATCGATATAACAGTTAATCAAGCAGATTCGTGGTTGGCCATGTTTGAAGGTATCATTACCATCAAGGGTAAATTGAAGGTGACCGGTGGTGGTACTGGTACATTAACCCACAATGCTGGAGCCTATCTCTTTGATTCCTGCACCTATGAATTATGTAATAAAGAATTGGACACTGTCAGATATCCTGGAATAACGAGTACTGTGCGAGGATACTTGTGTTATACACCTGAAGACTCACGTCATCTAGCCATAGCAGGCTGGAACTATCCCAATGCTCCGATCCTCAACACCGATGGTACGTTTAGCATGAACATTCCACTGAAACATTTGTTTTCCATCTTCAATGATCATCAAGTGGCAACGTGGGGCAAGCAGTCAATCCGTTTAGTGAGAGCTCGCAATGATGCCAATAGTGTGAAGGTTGTCGAGAGAGCGAATACTGCTTTGCAAGGATCTCCTCAGACTCAGAGTATTGCTAAAATAACGATAGAAAGCATCAATTTGAAAGTGCCACATCTCACACCCAACGATGACATAAAGTTGCAGTTGTTGACACGTATCAAAGCAGATGAGTCTATGATGATACCGTTTCGCCGATGGGAATTGCACGAGCTACCAGCACTCACACAAGGATCTACCATAGAAATCTGGTCCGTAAAGACATGTTCTGCATTGGACAGTCCAAGATATGTTATAGTATTTTTCCAAACTAAAAAAGCCGATAATTTGCATGAAGACGTCACCTTGTTCGATAATGCCAACATCAAATCCATACGATTGGCTCTGAATAGCGACTATTATCCGCAAGAAAGAATGCTATTGGACTTTTCCAAAGACCAATATGCCGAAGCCCACTTCAACTATACAGAGTTCAACAAGAGCTACCATAACTGTCAAGAAAAGCGCTCTCTAGTAAACTTTGCCGAATTCAAATCCCGACCAATGTTTGTTATCGATTGCTCGAGGCGCCATCTAGGCATGAAGTCGTCTACAGTTGACATGAAGTTGGACATTGAAGCGACTACAGGCTTTCCTCCCGACACCAAATCCTATTGCATCATCATTCACGATCAAATCATGGAACATCTCCCACTCAGCGAAATTGTTCGAAATATTGCCTAGGTGGGTGTTGCTGCATCAGTCAGACGTCAGTTTGCTTCGAAGAGTCATGGAGATCGCACTGGTTGACATTCAAGGGTTCATGGTTGATGGTGAATTCATTCCAAAGGAGATGACCATTCGCATTGGCAAAAAGACGAGTCATTTTCTATTCAAATCATCTGTAGAATTTTCGAGTTTAAGCAGAGAAGATAAAAAGATGGTAAATCATGTGGAGCGTTACGTTCATGGTTTAAAATATTCCAGTGGTTATGTGGATTTGAATGAGTTGGATCAAATACTACGAGATAACCTGCAGCAGACAAACATCATCTACGTAAGAGGTCATCAAAAGATTCAGTTTTTGCAGCGAAAATGTGCAGAGTTGGAGATGACCAATCACATTGTTAATTTGGAAGATTTTGACAATTCTTGGTCGCAACCAATAACGTTTCAACAATCCATTCCACCTTGCATGAATCATTTCCATGGAGGAAGGTTCCAGTGCAGTCTCCACAATGTCGATACTTTATATAATTGGTTATGTAATTTATTGCCAAAATAAAAAACTTTATAATAATTTCAGAGTTTTTATTCATCACATCTTTTATTTCTCAGTATAATGAAAATAACATGTGAGATTAAAATGAGTGAACATATTAGTGTACAACAAAGTGTCAAAATTGCAATGATATTGACAGAATCTTGATCATCATCTGATTTTGCGGGTGATTTCTCCAATGTAAATGTCTGCCAGTCCCCAGTTTCGCCGTCACTACCATCAGGAAACGATAATTTCAATTTGTAGTCGATGGTGGTCCCATTGACTCGAGGCATGTCGATTGAATATACAGGTAGTTTGTTATCATTGACATGCATTCTTTTCATCATCTTCCAATCACATTGTTGTGTACGATTCATATCACAACATATGCCTGCATTCCTCGTATCATATGGTATGTTTGTGTAGAAGACGTTGTTGCTCAGAGCTGTCAATAGGATGAAGCTTGCTTTCAGTATCGCCATCTAGTAGCTGTGTTGGTTGGATTCTTCTCGATGTAGGAAACGTTGCAACTGAACGTTTGGGTTCTGTGAACACCTTGTCCCAAATACTCAATTGCTCGTAATCTTTGAACAAACAAACTTTCTGCTCATACAATTGGATGTCTGCACTGAGCTTTCTAACTTTCAACCCAAATTCTTCTAGTGTACGTCTGTTTTCGTCAGAAGACATGATACAACTGCTTTTTACATCCATACCTTCAACTAATATCCATCCAATCTCTCTCTCTCCCTCTTCTTCTCACTTTTTCACCTTCTCACTCTCTCTTACACTCACTACCCATCCCAATGCTACACAGAAAATTTCAATAATTATTTTATTAATGATAGATAGGCAGCATATATTATATTTACATTAATAGCCAGGACAAGTATTACATTTTCATAAGAAAAAACATATTCTGAAAAAAAAGGCATTTTTCATTGTCTTCTTTCGCAAACTACATTTGTAAAGATGATATCATGCTACTAAAATCTGTAACATATTGTTAAAGTAAGTCAAGAATCAATATCTGTATGTTCATCACCAGAATCGATGAATCTCTCATAATGATAATGTGAATCATGTAAATTCATATCACATTCATATCGTTCTTTAAGCCCAAATAATAATTCTAAATCTAAAACAGAGGAGTGTGAGTGTAGGTGTATGGGTTTTTTTTCTTTATAAATGTTTGATGAGTTGATTCACATGAAAAAATTACTCTTTTGCCTGTGTATGACCCCATGGCAATGTGTCAAACGAACCTGGAATCAAATACCGTTTATCATCTTTGGGACTCAGAGCAATTTTTGATTGTTGAATGCTAAACACATTGTGGGCATATGAACGGATAGTACGTTGAGACACTGTTTGTTCTCTTAAATTCTTCAAACAATTCAAATAATCTTCGAACCCAATTTTATTCTTGACAACATTAGTTTTCACCCCTTTCGATTTTTTGACAACCTTACCCCCTTGTACTTTATATGCATACATTTTCGAACGTAGTCCTACGAAATTAGTAACGATTTTCCCATTTGCTTCATCTTTTAATAAACCCAACTTTTTTTTATTGACTAGTGGCATATTATATTTATCATCTGGAGCATATTCAGATGTGTCAAATTGAGAGAGATCAGCCTTTATAACTTCTTCATATGCATCATCACATTTCAATTCATATATGAAGCTGTCTGTATCCATATATAACAATTTACACCTTTCAATACCCATTTTCGGAAGCATTGAGCTGTTATATGAGTTTTAGGTGTAAATAGTTGTTCGAGTTGCAGCGTTGAATCAGGATGCCGTTATCTTGGTTGTTCTATATTCGGCGTATACAGAGAATCATATTCTTGCAAAGCCTAGAAAGATGATTAAATCAGCTGAGTTATAGACTACAATTAACGGACAATGATTTCATCACACTACCTACCAGTCATTATACAAAGTTTTTTAAATATAAATTTTTGTATGCCAAATTGAGTAGTCATTGTGACTTTACCCGCCTACCAGGTGTTGAATAAACAACGGATAATTTTGACATTATTTATTTTTAGATATTATACCAACATTTTCAAGTTCAGTAAGAATGAAGGCGATCTCGTTGTTGTTCTTATCTGATTCCATTAAATATCTCAGTCTATCCACCAAGATATTCGGATCTGTCCATTCATCTAAAATATTTTACTCTTCATTCTCAATACTGGCTTCAGGCTCCACGCTCGACTTTGGACAATTAGGCTTGGTCTCATTTTTGAAGAGGGGTCTGATAATTTTGTCGAATTTCTCCTTATCAGCTTGTCCTCGTAATCGCCCTAATCGATCTCTATGAATAGAGCTGATTTCTAGCATCTGTTTATACATCTGGTGATCCAGAGGCGTGTAATTTCGAGAATTCTTGGAAAATAATAATTCCAAAAGACCCAGAGTACTTTTAAAATCGACATTATCTACGCCTATGTATTGGTACTCAAAGCGTAGATTCTTATGTCCAAGTGTCCATCTGCCGTCAACATATTTCGGTCCATAAGCATTGTCATAATCTGCACAGTGATATTTATCTAATGCTTGCTCTGATGAATGTGGTTTAGACTCCATGATGTGAACGCTATGGTGTCTGATATACAACTGAAGACTCTTGAATACCTCTGAAGTCATCTGAATACCTCTGAAGACATCTGAATACCTCTGAAGACATCTGAATACCTCTGAAGGCGTGATCTGAAGACCTCTGAATACCTCTGAATACCTCTGAAGACATCTGTAGACATCTGAAGGCGTGATCTGAAGACCTCCGAATACCTCTGAATACTTCTATAGGTGTGATCTGAAGACTTCTGAATCCATTAACTGCCATCCGCTAATCAGCTAGGTTATTCGAATTGGTGGCGTCCACTCTATGGGCATTCTTCATATGGTGGTATAGGTTAGTTTTATTCAAGAATTTCCCACATTTCTCGACACACAATGCTTGGTGTCGATTATAGCGAAATTTTCGCTCTTTAAAACTTTCCCACGTTTTATTGATATTGAAAGCAATCCACTCTCCAGTATTGAGACACTCTGTTATAAATCTGTATTAGCTGTGCTATTGGAGTTTATAAAATCTTTCGCTTTGACTCTGACAAAATTTACAGAACAAGAATTGCACTATATTCCAGTAGAGTGTATCATTGAACATGCAGATCCCTGTGACCTATTAATGATATGTCACAAACTTCCTCAAGAATATCGCAGCAACTTTAACCTACAAATCAAACTGCCATGCTTCGTTCATTATAATCGTCCCGATTGGACCACACACTGGGATGGACCGTCATCTTCTCAAGAGGCATGTCATTTTTGTAAAAAAGCTTTACTGTGAAATAAATTGATTATCTAACAATAATTTTCCTCGTAGTAGTTTCATTTCGCATTTATGTACCATTAATGACATATGTCAATGGTAGAACGATATCCCTCAAACCATGCGACTTTGCATATAGGTATATTGGCATTTCCGAATTGTCCATGAAAAATCCTATTTTGAGAGTACCCACACACGTGATCATTTTACCAGAAGAAAAAACAACGGCATGACGTCACCCACTTTGAAATAAATAAATAATCCGAGTATTCGTTTCCAATACGAGCGCGCGCTTATCATTCTACGGGATCTCTCGCTTTGCTGGATCTTCGAACGCCATGAAGCGAGACAGCGTTGCCACACACAATAATGTAACAATATTAACATCCAAACACATACGTCCGACAACGTTGCAGCGCCGAGCGCTCGAGCCTCACTCTACCTCGATAGATCCGTTGCAAAGATAAGCGCGCGTCAGCGATGGATATTATTTTCGACTCGAAGTTTCTTATCTCTGGGATGCATCTCTCGCTTCACTCTACCTCGATAGATCCGTTGGAAAGATAAGCGCGCGCCAGCGATGGATATTATTTTCGACTCGAAGTTTCTTATCTCTGGAATGCATCTCTCGCTTCACTCTACCTCGATGGATCCGTTGCAAAGATAAGCGCGCGCCAGCGATGGATATCCCGTTTGAATAGCATTAAAATAATTGAAATATTACGGAGGTCGGAATACCACAGTGCGTATATACGCTGCCTCATAATGCAAAGGTCCCTGGTTCAATTTCCCCCAGCGGTGACAGCTTCTTTTAATTCATTTATTTATTTAAAAATTCATCATGATGATGATGATGTCATAACCTCTCAATTTCAAATTTACCGCCATCAGCGCCGCCGCCATCTTGTTATTGTCATTAAAGTGTTATTTGTTGCGGTTTCGATAAGCTCGCGCCAGCGCTACCCCTCTTCCCCGCTAGAACACAGGCCGCGTTCCAGTTAAGATTAAAGCAT